CTCACATTATCCACAGTTCTCAGCACTCTGCCAGGCAAACAACTGGCACACAAAGAGAGCCTGTCATGGGAGGCTTCAGTGTGGTCAGGCAAGGTTGCCCTGAGAAGGTCACCTGGAGCTGATGGCACCTGTTGCTCTGAAGCATCTGTCGCTCTGAAGCACCTGTCATTGGGATCCAGAGAAAACCCAAGGCCTCGCTAGCCTAACACCCACCTGTGGCCATATTCTTTACCCTCTGTGACTCCAAGTTTGTCCCCTGTATCTGGGAACTTCAAAGCTTGGAGGGATCATAGAAGTTATCACCCTCTGCAATTGTATGCAAGAAATCCTTCAATATCTCTGAAAACCTCTCAGGAGTCAATTCATTCTATTCCCCAGTTACATTAATTATTTGGATCTCAAGCAACTACTCTTTCATCCTGATTCCAAGCTTCTGGGGTCTTTGGAACTTAAACCTCACAACTCACCCAAAACATTTCCTCCTCAGAGTTTCGGCTATCAGAGAGGTTAAGTGTCATGCCCAAGGTTCACAGCAGAGGAATTTAGGGCACTCTTTACAAAACATTGCTGGGAATCCTATATGGTGCATTCTGTATTGCCTGGACTGTTCTAGGAACACAGATAGCTTCCTCGACTTCCACAGTCTGTGCTGGAAGTTTCCTCCCTAAAAATTTACACTTGACTTTTAAAATTTTGTAATTATTTATTAATTTTAAGTGTACATAGGTTATATTCTCATCTAAATAAATTCTGGCTAAGGGTCATGTCATATAATTTTCTCTGTAATTTCAATATCCTGAGCACATAGAATATGCTTAATAAAGATTGATTCATTGATTGGTTAAATGAACTCAGGGTTTTTAAATGTCATGAAAATTCTGCTTATACTCATGTACATAAATATAAATATTTTCAGAAATCCACTTTTCCCTCCTGGATAGTTTCTTGCTGTTGTGAGAGGTTCGATTTCCCCCACAATGAGTCTCTTCTAGCTAGCATTGAGGGTACAAAGATAGCTTCTGAGATCTCAGAAGTTGATGGCATTTGTGTGACAGACTTCAGGTGCTAAATACTCCCAGAAATATTTGCATCTACCACCCTTTCTCCATTTGAAACACAGTTGGTGGTAGAAACACTCATATTCTGTCAATTTAATCACCATCCGGTTTGTATAAGTGGGTGGAATTTAAGATGTGAAAAATAGGAAGACTGCATGGAATACACTATCAAGAGCTCTGTAAATTAGAATCTCCTCCAGACTCAGAGAACAGCCAGAGGATTTTGCCTAATACCCAACAAGGGAATGCAAGCCACACTTTTATTGCCTCTAACTTTTAAGGCTTTGGGCAATAATTGAATATCCCTGAGTCCCCAACTTCTTTGCAAGACATATGATTTTTCACCTTCAAACTACCTACAATCGAATGAAATACTCTCTTGTGGTTGCCATAAACTCCTGAGGTTAAAGCGCCTTTGTTAAAGCAGGCAAATACAAACATAGTCTATGGTATTAGTGATCTATAAATTGTCTCTACCATTTGTTTTCAAAAATTTCTGTTAAAGTACTACGTCCTGTGGTTTGAACAGGATTTGGTTCTTCAAATTCATGCAGATGTTCAGACCCCAAGGTGAAAACTTGCTCCAGTTATGGCGTGTGAAGGTGGGAGCTTTGAGAAGGGATCAGAAAGGATTAGATTGCTTTGCAATCAAATGGTGATGGCATCACAAGGAGAGACCACACAGAGGGCGAATGATGAGTGTGCACCCTGTGTCTGCTGCTGTTTTCTGGCTTGCCTACCTTCCAGTCTCCCTGGATGCCCTGACCCAATAGGGCTGCCCACTCTTGGACTGTGGACCACCAAATCCATAAGCCAAAATAAGTCTTCTCCCTTCCTTCCTAAGAAGCTCCTCTCAGGTATTTTTGTGAAGAAATGAAAAGCTAATTCCTACCTGTTCACAACAAAGGAGAGAATGGCTATTGGCTAGGCAACAAGTAGTTCACCCATAATATGTAAGGATTATGGGGGGGGGGATCCTCCAGAATATACATATTCTTCTTAAATACTTATGAGTGCAGTGGAGGATGGCCCAGGTCTTTGGGCCCTGTACCCGCATGGGAGACCAGGAGAAATACCTGGCTCCTGGCTTCAGATCAGTGCAGTCCGCCAGCCGCAGCGGCCATTGTGGGGTGAACCAATGGAAAAGGAAGACCTTTCTGTCTCTCTCACTGTCCACTCTGCCTGTCAAAAAAAAAAAAACACAAAACTTATAACATGTATTGAATTTAAGCCTCACTTTCTTTAACTGAACAAAGGGTATTATAAGCCTACCTGGGGTAGTTGTGATGGTGACGTAAACCAACGTAACAGGAGAGTTTCAGCAGACTGCCTGACATATAGTATATGCTCAATAAAGGCTGGCTTTATTTAATCATCTATTGATGAGTGGATCATGTAACACAACTTGTTCACATTCCTGCTAATGGGAAGGAGAAGCTGCTCAAGAGCCACATTATTTCTGGGACCTGCTCCATCAAGGACGCAGTGGCTGCGTGAGGTGGTGGTCTGAGCTCTGACCAGTGCCTTGCAGGTTTATATGCCAGTCTGGGGAGTCACAGAATTACAGGACTTACTGGAGGTGGATTCCATCCAGAGAATCTAGGACTCCCAAATGGTCCCACTGCTGTTTCTCCTTTGACTCTATTGCCTCTTTCACAATTGCCACAAAGGACTATAATTAGCCTGAGTCTTAGTTTCCTAATCTGCGATTAGGATAATCTACTGGTCCTGATTCATATGATTACTATGAAGATCAAATTAGATAACACAAGTGAAATTATGTCATGACATGTTTTAACTGAATCCTACTAAGCACCGTAAGCTCTACATGCATTTGTCATGTAATTCATCCAGTGGGTAGGTGGAAGAGACTACTTGTTGGCTCAAATATCTGTCCCCAGTCCCTGACTTTTTCTTATAGATAAGATCTCTGATTTTTCGGCTGACTAAAATAAATTTTAAAAATGCACTCTGCAGCCCCCTCCCCCGGAAATTCATTGTGTGTATTTTTGCCAATGAGCTATCATTGGAATGTTAGTGGGTTGCTTCCAGGTGGTTTGCTTTTTTTCTTCTTTTTTAAGATTTATTTGAAAGGGAGAGTTACAGAGAAAGAGAGGGAGAGAGCAAGATCTTCCATTCACTGGTTCACTCTCCCAAACAGCTGAAAAGGACAGGCCTGGGCCAGGCCAAAGCCAGGAACCCAGAACTCCAATCCAGATCTCCCATGTGGATGGCAGGGGCAGTCCTTGGGTCACCTTCTGCTGCTTTCCCAGGAACAGCAGCAGAGAGCTGAATTGGAAATGGAGCAGCCTAGACTAGAACCTCTACTCATAAGGGACACCAGAATAGTAGGTGGCAGCTTAGCCCACTGTGTTACAATGCCAGCTCCCCAGGAGGTGTTTTAAAAGGAAGAGAGCATGCTGTTGGCCTACCCCTCTTCCCTGTTGTCTGATTAGAATGCTTATAATGGCTGGCCCTTGTAAAGCCATATCAGATCATGAGGCAGCATAAGGATTGCAGAGCAGCAAAATAGATGGAAATGACCTGTTTGAATGTTTTCTGAACCATTTGGAGTAAGTTGAAGGTACCTTTTGCCCTTAAATATTTTAGCATGTGTTTCTGCAATCAGACATTCTCTTAATAACCACAGTACAATGATCAAAATCAGAAAATATAACATCAGTACAATACTATTAACTAATTTACCATATGAGGAGGCTTCAAAAAGTTTATAGAAAGTGGAATTAAAAGAGAAGTTTTTGGAGCCAGTGTTGTGGCACAGCAGGTTAGGCTGCCACTAAGGACACTGACATCCCATGTAAGAATGCCCAGTTAAGTCCCAGCTGCTCTGCTTCCAGTCCAGCTTCCTGCTATTGGAAGGGAGTAGAAGATGGCAGAGTGCTTGGCCCCTTGCCACCAACAGGAGAGACCAGGATGGAGTTCTTGACTCCTGGCTTTGGTCTGGCCCAGATCTGACTGTTGTGGCCATTTAGGGAGTGAACCATGAGAATGGAAAAATCTCTCTATGTCTGTCTGTCTGTCTTTCTCTGTGGTTCTGCCTTTAAAATAAACAAACACATAAATCTTTTTAGAAATATTGAAAAATAAGTAAAACCTAAGTTTATTTTGGTGTAAAAATTTTTGAAATTCATGCATAGTTTTTTTCATAATAGTCATTTTCCATGAACTTTGTAATATTCCTTGCATATATTCAGATGTCATTAGTTGTTCCAGTATTATCCTGTGTTGCTTCCTTGCCCTCTAGGTTTCAATGTAGCATTAGATACTGGTTATATGACATGTCTCTTTAGTTTCCTTTACTTGGAAAGAAATCTAACACTTATTTATGATTAAAAATGTCTCAGTACCTAGAAATAAAGTGAATTTTCTCAAATGTAAGAGTATTGAAAACCAAGAAAAAATGTAATGAACATCATCCTAAATGGAGAACTATTAGAAGAATTTGCTTTAAAATCAGGAATAATACAGGAGTGCTCATTATCACTCTTTCTAAGATTGTATCAAAGATTCCACTTAGCACAATGTCACCTGAAAACCAAACCAGAAGGATTAGAAAGGAAGAAACTCTTATTATTTGTATGCTGCATGATTGTCTACATAGAAAACTAAAACGGATCTATATGCACTATCAAAAAAAGGAATAAACAAACTTAGAAATTTCGATGAAGGAAATTGAATAAGAACTAATTAAATGAAAAAATATTCCTTGTCACTGAAAGATTTAGTTTCAGAAGCATGTCACTTTTTCCTAAATAATTCATATATTTAATGAAACCTCAGTCATAAACAGCTGTTCATGGAGCTTGGTGAATTGATTATAGGATTTATGAAAAGAGCAAAACTTTAATCTAGGCAAATGTTGCAGACAGGATGAAGGAAGTAATGAGGATTCTCAAGACACAAAAAGTGCTAACTATAAAAGATTGATAAATTCAACTTTATTTAAACTAAGAACTTCTGTTTACTAAAAATTAGATTAAATTGATGAGGTAAGCCACAAACTAGAGAAAAAAATCTGCCATGTACCCTACAAAGGATTAGATCAAGAATATGTGAAAAACTACAAATATAAGACATAATGCATTAGATGAGCAAGACATGTATAGATATTTCATAGAAGAAGAAACACACATGGCCAGTAAATTTACGAAGAGACATGCAATCTCATGGGTAGTCAGGGAAACAGAACCAGAGAGAAATATTATTTTACACTTATTTGGTTAAACAAATTATAAAATGTCAGTGACATGAATCAATAAGTTCACTTAAAGATTGATGGTGAGATTTTAAGTTGCTAAAAATCACTTTAGAAAACAATTTGACACCATCTTGTCAAATTTAGCATTCAATATATAATATGGATTAAAGGTTAATCCCGTAATTCTACTACCAGATATCCCCTGCCTTTCACCTCCCCATCCCATCCCAGAGAAATTCTTGCATGAGCGCCTCAGGACACAGCAATGAGAATCTTCATGGTAACAGTATGCATAATAGCACAAAAACTGGAACTCAGCCATATGCTTGCCAAAAAAGAATATATGTATATGTATATATATAAATGGTAGCATATTCAATACAGTGATGAAAAGAAACTATAACACTGTATGATAACATGGAAGGATCATATTAACACAGTGAATGAAAAATACAAGCCTCAGGAGATTAGATAACTGTATGTTCAAATATAAGTTCTGTATGAAGTGAAAAAAACTAAAAGAAAATATTTTTAAGTTAAATTTGTATGCACATGTGTGAAAGCACAGATTTATATATGATATATAGATATATAGATGAACTCTTCATGATTGCATTAAAATTTTTATCCAATACAATTTTTTTTTTTTTTTTTTTTTTGACAGGCAGAGTGGACAGTGAGAGAGAGACAGAGAGAAAGGTCTTCCTTTGCCGTTGGTTCACCCTCCAATGGCCGCCGCAGCCGGCGCGCTGCGGCCGGCGCACCGCGCTGATCCGGTGGCAGGAACCAGGAGCCAGGTGCTTTTCCTGGTCTCCCATGGGGTGCAGGGCCCAAGCACCTGGGCCATCCTCCACTGCACTCCCTGGCCACAGCAGAGAGCTGGCCTGGAAGAGGGGCAACCGGGACAGAATCCGGCGCCCCGACCCGGACTAGAACCCGGTGTGCCGGCGCCGCAAGGCGGAGGATTAGCCTAGTGAGCCGCGGCGCCGGCCTCCAATACAATTTATTTAGTTGAAAAGCAAAGAGACAGAGTAGGAGAGAGAGAGAGAAAAAAGATCTTCCATCTGTTGATTCACTCTCCAAATGGCCACAATGGCCACAATGATAGGGGCTGGACCAGGCTAAAGCTGGGAACCTGGAACCACATTCAGATCTCCTACATGGTGGTGGGGGTCCAGGTATTTAGGCCACCCCCCATTGCTTTCCCAGGCACATGGTAGTGAGCTGGATTGGAAGCGGAGCTAGATTGGAAACGGTACTCTGATATGGAATGCTGTGTCACAGGCGGCAGCTAAACCCACTGCACTACAATGCCAGACCCCCCTTTAAAACTTTTAAAAAGTTCTGCTTAAATAGCAAGGGTTGCCAAATACTAGATCAGAACATATGTAAAGGCAGGCAGTTGATAGGACAAAGGATCACTTAGGTAGATTTAAATACTGGGAATTTTTTATTTTAGTGCTGGGTTCATGGAAATCAGTATGTTATTGATAAATAAAATTTAAAGGCCATGGATGAGTCATTAATTACTGTGTCATGAACTAAGAATTATGATCAATCCATACCTAAGTTTAAAGAGAAATATGTTGGTAATAGCAAACACTTATATAGTGCTTATAATGAGCCAGGTACTGCTCTGAGCTCTTTACATTGTTTAATTCATTTAATCCTCCCAATTAGGAGATTCTATGATTATTGCTATTTTATATACAAGAAAACCAAGTCACAGAAAGGTTAGTAGTAACTCTTTCAAGGCACATGGCAGAGTTGGGATTTTATTCAGGCTGGCTGGGTCCAGAGTCCATACTCTTAATCACTACTCCATAAGGTGTCCAAATAAATGAAAGACATAATTATATTAGGGCTTAGTCATATAGAAGTTACAGCAGAGTGCTTTCTAAACAATATTAAAGAAGGAGCCACATGTACAGCCTGGTAAGTATATTAAAACCCACAGAATTATATACTTTAAATGGGTGAACTTTATGGTATATAAATTACGTCTTAATAAAACTGTTTTTAGCAAATCCACAAACCACAAATAAGCAAGCCTCCTTGTAATGCAAACTGGGTTCTAAGTGATTTTCTGCTATTTTAAGGATTTAAATACATGCCTAAGGCTAAAATATACTTTTTCTGCAAGCCAAACAAAATAAACATCACTGTGAAGATAGCATTCACTTCATGAAGGGAGTTAAAATACAAAAGTGTGATCTACTACTATTATGAGTGTGGAAAAACTGTTTAATTCCCACCCCTTTTCTCATCTGCCAGGAAATCAAATGGCCCACAGCTCCCAAGATAAATTTCATATTGCAATCACAATTATCCTTGTGTGTTTGGAGAATACACAAACAATAAAACCTAGGAAGGAAGAGGGTGCAAAGAAGACATTTGGTTGAAACATACTGATATTTTTTAGTTGTGAAATTCCACATGTATTACTTTTGCTGCTTTCCTTTTAAATCTAAAACTGATTTTCAAGCCATTTGTGACTACCAGGATGTGTGTCTTTAGGGCTTTTGAGTCAAACAGCTCCAGGGGCCAACATGATGCTCTTTAAATTGGGCTAAGGCAGATTTTCTTCAACATTATTTCTTGGTGTTTGGCAAGGCACTGAAAGAAGAGATGGATCAACATGCTGTGACAATATTCAGGGAATCTGTTGGTTAACTGTTTTCATGACCACTGAAAGATCCCCTCACCCAAGTCAGTTGTCTTCACAGATCTGGGCGTTGATCACAAGATAGAAGTCAGAGTGCACCTCCATAGCAGTATCACCAACACCAAAAGAAGAATTCAAAGTCCCGGCCCTCTACACTCTGGGTCACGGTTATGCTTTCTCAGGCCTCGCTGAAGCACGTGTAAACACAGGCTGTTAAAACCTCACTATGTGGCTTCCTGTTTTAAAGAACACAAAGGACATGAAAAGTCACGTATGTTAATTAAAACATGGATCCAACATACTGTTATTGTTGAATTATTACGGATACAGACACACAACTCAGGCTGTATTTTGGATGCTGTTAATGGAATCCAGGCCTTTTTCACCTAAACATTCAACTTACCAGTCCTTTTGGATTCAGGCAGACTACCGAACTGAACCCCTTATGCAACCCTTCCCATGGCAGCCAGCTGTGGGTGTTAACTTCCAGCAAGCTGCCAGGTATTTCAAGCAGCAAGGCCCTAAGGCTGGCATGCCTCAAGCATTGCCCCATGTCCTGGGCCCGTTCAGCTATCTGAATTCTCTCCCTCAACTCTTGCTCATCTTCGTATCAGGAAGTTGGGGAAAGTATAATGATTTGGACATAATCATTTCCTTTGATCACTGAGTCATCTAAGCAGATCTGTTTAGGCCCAAAACAGTCACTTTGCAGTCTGACTTATCTGGATTGCATATTACATTAAATAATACGATAATGGCCTATCTTCATTTTCCCTTTGTGTTATATTAATATAACCTTAAAACAAGAAAAAAAATTCCCTAAGGTTTTTTTTTTTTTTTTTTTTTTTTTTTTTTAAGAAACACTGTGTTTAAAAAACAATACATCTATTGCCTGGTATCTAGACTTTTATCTTTTTTTAAATTTATTTTATTTATTTGAAAGGCAGAGTTCTAGAGAGGCAGTGGCAGAGAGAGGGGAGAGAGAGAGAGACAGAGAGAGGAAGTCTTCCATCTGCTGGTTCACTCCCCGGATGGCCACAACGGTCAGCCAGAGTTGTGGCGATCTGAAGCGGAGCCAGGAGCTTCTTCTGGGTCTCCCATGCAGGTGCAGGGGCCCAAGCACTTGAGTCATCTTCTACTGCTTTCCCAGGCCATAGCAGAGAGCTGGATCGGAAGTGGAACAGCTGGGACTTGAACCAGCGTCCTTAAGTGATGCAGGCACTGCAGGCAGTGGCTTTACCTGCTACACCACAGTGCCAGCCCCTAGAATTTTATCTTTAAATATCATTTCCCTCTAAAGGAACTAGAACTTCTTGGAGAAATGGCTGGTTCCATGTCTGGAGTGGAAAATGTATTGACATGATTTCATAATTATTAAAATCAGGTGTCAGGTACATAGAAGATTTTTATGGGACTCTAATTTTCATATATTTATTTGAAAGGCAGAGTGACAGAGTGAGCAAGGGGCAGGAAGAGAGGGAGGAAGAGAGAGAGAGGGAGAGAGAGAATCTTCCATGCACTGGTTCACTCACTCCTCAAATGGCTATTGTGGCTGGAGCTAACATCAGGACCCAGAAACTCCATCCTGGTCTCCCACATAGGTGACAGGGGCTCAAACACTTGGGTTGTCATCTGCTGCCTTCCCAGTCGCATTAGCAGAAGCTAGATCAGAAGCACAACCAGGACTCCAAACAGCACTCAGATATAGGATGCTGGCTTAACTCTGTTAAGCCACAATACTAGCCCTTATTTCTGTATATTTTTAACTTTTTCTATAAAATTGTTTTTAAAAAAGCTAAAAGTAATTTCTATTTTTTAAATTCAAAGAGTAATAACATGTACATGGTAAACTTTATGTTTATATATGTATGTATGTACGTATGTATTAAAAGGCAGGGTGACACAGAGAGGGAGATAGAGAAAGTGAAAGGCCGGCACAGTGGCACAGTAGGAAAGCAGTGGAAGATGGCTCAAATCCTTGGGCTCCTGGCTTCGGATCGGCGGCCAATTGGGGAGTGAACCAGCGGATGGAAGACCTCTCTCTGTCTGTACCTCTCTGTGTAACTCTGTCTTTCAAATAAATAACATTAATTAAAAAAAAGAGAGAGAGAAAGTGGATGTCCCACCTATTGGTTCACTCCTCAAATGCCCACAACAGCTGAGGCTGGACTCGGTGAAGCCAGGAGGCTGGAACTCTCCATTGCTGTTCTTATCTCTTGGGCCCATTAGCAGAAAGCTGGATCAGAAGAGAGTAGCCAGGACTCAAATCGGCACTCTAAAAGGGATACAAGCAATACAATACAATACAAGCAGGCTCAACCTGCTGCCCCACAATGCCTGCTCCTAATTTTTTTTTTTAAAAAAGCATACAAAAAAAGTTAAGTCTTTCTCTCAATTCCAGGCTCTCAGTCTCCCTCCTTAGGGCAATGTACTAAGAATTTCCCACGTATTTGTCAGAGAAGTTTAGCGTATTTTACACACCCTTCTGTGACTTACTTATTTTAGCAGCTGGTTTTCAACACAATGAGTACACGTTACAATAATGTGGATTTTCATGCTTTACATCTTAGGCTTCTTTTGCTTTTGTTTGATCTAATCAACACACACATATTTTCGCCTTTCTCGGGATTATTTACAAAATGAAAGGTGACTCGGGCTGGGCTAAACAGGTTGCAATCTGCAATCTTAAAAGTTTTCAGGTTAGGTTTCAGTTTGGGGGACATTACCGCTATCCTGAAAAAACGCCGTATTTAAAAACACCCCGCATGCTTTACTACACACTGGATCCTGAGAGAAGAACTTGAAAAGAAGATGACTAAGATCCTCAAGTCGCCTCTGCCAGGCGTTTGCCTTTGAGGACCGCAGTCTCCCTGATGCGGCGGACTCGGCACCACCTCCTCCAGCGGCCTGGGAGCTCCGGGCCGCGCGCTGCACCTGTCTAATCCCGCTATCACCAGCGCTCCGCACAGGTGGTTTATGGTCTTACACAACGAAGGTTTACGAAAGACCGGAGTTTTGAGGCGGATAAAGACCAAAGGAGCCTAAAAGGTGGATTTGGACCTGCGGCAAGGTGGCCGTGTTCTATACAGAACTAACTACCCCTGGTGCCGGGAGGTAGCAGCCACCGCGGGGGAAAAAAGTGACGTATCCGCACGGAGCGGAGATGACTCACTCGATATTGTGCAGCGGGGGAAACGCTGCACGCAAGCAAGTGCTGGACGACACAACACAAAACTCAAACAGCCGCGGGCCACCCCGCTCCGCCCCCCGGGCTGCTCGGCGGGAACGGGGAGCGCGGGGGCAGAGCCGGGCTCCTCGCCAGGGCTGCGTCCTCCGAGCGCTGCTGCCCGGCCCTCGGGGCTCCTCACGGCTCGTCACTGCAGCGCCGCCCCCGGGCGTCAGTGTGACCCGGGGCCTGGTGAACCGTGAACTCCCGGCCCCGGCCTGCCCCGCGGGCCCCAGTGACCGCGGGCGGTGCCTGTTCGCGCACGGGAGGTGGGGCTTTTTCAGGTTATTCTCGTAGCGGCCGGAGACGGCGGTGGTGTCCGCTGGGTGCCCCGGCGGCGGCTTCCTGAGGGATCTGATGGGCTCCGGCAGCCGGGGGGCTTGTCCAGCCCCTTGTCCGGTACAGGTAGGACGGCGGGGGAGCCAGAAGTTTCGAACTTCAAAGGGCAAGAAGCACAGCCCAATGCGCCGCGGGACCAAACACGTTTGAGGGGAGAGCGTCGCCAGCGCGGGGAGGCGGGCCTAGTTCACGGTCACCATCTCGCGACATCCAAGCGACGTCGCTCAGCAAGTGCGTGTTCTACTCCTTCACCTTCAGTCAGCCTCCGCAGCATACGAGCCTACCCCTTTAAGCGAGTGATGGACAGTTACTTCAGCCTATCAACTTCTTCGACCACATCCAATCAGATTTAAACTTCTTTCGGCCGCCAGAGGAGTTGGAAGCGAGGGTGAGAGAAAGTGAGACAGGAGCGCTCTGTGTCTCTCGCGAGATCGCTGTGAGCCGGCCTCTCAGAAAAAAAACGCCAGAACGGATGGTCTGGCTTCCTAAACAGCGGGATAAAGGACGGGGTCACAAACCAATGAAAGGGATGAGGAGGTGGGATCGCTGCTTTTACTGCGCCAGAAGTACCGTTACAGAGCAGACTTTTTGCCCAATCAACGCCTCCAGACTTTTGGTCAAGTGACCGGAGTGCGAGGGGCGGAGCCACGGCCTGGCGCGAGGAACCGTTAAGATAGACAACGGACTTAACCAATGAGGTACTCGGACTAGTGCGTTGGGAACCCAATAACAGTGGTTGGGCGGGCGCCTTCCCGGAGCGCGGGGAGATGTAAAGATAGACAAATAATTTTCCCAATGAGACTGTAGAAGAGAGAGCTAATTGACCAATGAGGATTTCGGGGCGGGATCCTTCGCCGCGGCGGAGTCCAAGATGGCGGCGTGCGGTTCCGCTGTGTGAAACGAGCGCGGGGCGGCGGGTTAATCTGCTCCGCGGAGACGACCTCCGACGACCCGCAACAATGAAGGGGAAAGAGCGCTCGCCAGTCAAGGCCAAACGCTCCCGTGGTGGTGAGGACTCGACTTCTCGCGGGGAGCGGAGCAAGAAGTTGGGGGGCTCTGGTGGCAGCAATGGGAGCAGCAGCGGCAAGACCGACAGCGGCGGCGGGTCGCGGCGGAGCCTTCATCTGGACAAGTCCAGCAGCCGAGGTGGCAGCCGCGAGTATGACACCGGTGGGGGCAGCTCCAGTAGCCGCTTGCATAGTTACAGCTCCCCGAGCACCAAAAATTCTTCGGGCGGGGGCGAGTCGCGCAGCAGCTCCCGGGGTGGAGGCGGGGAGTCACGTTCCTCCGGGGCCGCCTCCTCAGCTCCCGGCGGCGGGGACGGCGGGGAATACAAGACCCTGAAGATCAGCGAGTTGGGGTCCCAGCTGAGTGACGAGGCGGTGGAGGACGGACTGTTTCACGAGTTCAAACGCTTCGGTGATGTAAGTGTCAAAATCAGTCATCTCTCGGGTTCTGGCAGCGGGGATGAGCGGGTAGCCTTTGTGAACTTCCGGCGGCCAGAGGACGCGCGGGCGGCCAAGCATGCCAGAGGCCGCCTGGTGCTCTATGACCGGCCCCTGAAGATAGAAGCTGTGTATGTGAGCCGGCGCCGCAGCCGCTCGCCTTTAGACAAAGATACTTACCCTCCGTCTGCCGGCGTGGTTGGGGCCTCAGTAGGTGGCCACCGGCACCCGCCTGGAGGAGGCGGTGGCCAGAGATCGCTTTCCCCCGGTGGCGCTGCCTTGGGATACAGAGACTACCGGTTGCAGCAGTTGGCTCTTGGCCGCCTGCCCCCTCCGCCTCCGCCACCGTTGCCCAGAGAGCTGGAGAGAGAACGAGACTACCCGTTCTATGAGAGAGTGCGCCCAGCATACAGTCTTGAGCCAAGGGTGGGGGCTGGAGCAGGTGCTGCCCCTTTTAGAGAAGTGGATGAGATTTCACCGGAGGATGATCAGCGCGCTAACCGGACGCTTTTCTTGGGCAACCTAGACATCACTGTGACAGAGAGTGATTTACGAAGGGCTTTTGATCGCTTTGGAGTCATCACCGAAGTAGACATCAAGAGGCCTTCTCGTGGCCAGACCAGTACCTATGGCTTTCTCAAATTTGAGAACCTAGACATGTCTCACCGGGCCAAACTTGCAATGTCTGGCAAAATTATAATTCGGAATCCTATTAAAATTGGTTATGGTAAAGCTACACCCACCACCCGCCTCTGGGTAGGTGGCCTGGGACCTTGGGTGCCACTTGCTGCCCTGGCACGAGAGTTCGACCGATTTGGCACCATACGCACCATAGACTACCGGAAAGGTGATAGTTGGGCATATATTCAGTATGAAAGCCTGGATGCAGCGCATGCTGCCTGGACCCATATGCGGGGCTTCCCACTTGGTGGCCCAGATCGTCGCCTTAGAGTAGACTTTGCGGACACAGAACATCGTTACCAGCAGCAGTATCTGCAGCCTCTGCCTTTGACTCACTACGAACTCGTGACAGATGCTTTTGGACATCGGGCACCTGACCCTTTGAGGGGTGCTCGGGATAGGACACCACCCTTACTATATAGAGATCGGGATCGGGACCTTTATCCTGATTCTGATTGGGTGCCACCCCCACCCCCAGTCCGGGAACGCAGCACCCGGACCACGGCTGCTGCTGTGACTGCTTATGAGCCACTGGACAGCCTGGATCGCAGGCGGGATGGCTGGTCCTTGGACCGGGACAGAGGCGATCGAGATCTGCCCAGCAGCAGAGACCAGCCCAGGAAGCGAAGACTACCTGAGGAGGGCGGAGGACGGCATCTGGACAGGTCCCCTGAGAGTGACCGACCACGGAAACGGCACTGTGCTCCTTCTCCTGACCGCAGTCCAGAATTGAGCAGTAGCCGAGACCGTTACAACAGTGACAATGACCGATCTTCCCGTCTCCTTCTCCTGGAAAGGCCCTCTCCAATCAGAGACAGACGGGGCAGTTTGGAGAAGAGCCAGGGTGACAAGCGAGACCGTAAAAACTCTGCATCAGCTGAACGGGATAGGAAGCACCGGACAGCTGCTCCCACCGAGGGAAAAAGCCCTCTGAAAAAGGAAGACCGACCTGATGGGAGCGCACCCAGTACCAGCACTGCTTCATCAAAGCTGAAGTCCCCTTCCCAGAAACAGGATGGGGGGACCGCCCCTGCGGCAGCTGCTTCTCCGAAACTCTGTTTGGCCTGGCAAGGGATGCTTCTACTGAAGAACAGCAACTTTCCTTCCAACATGCATCTGTTGCAGGGTGACCTCCAAGTGGCCAGTAGTCTTCTTGTGGAGGGCTCAACTGGAGGCAAAGTGGCCCAGCTCAAGATCACTCAGCGTCTCCGTTTGGACCAGCCCAAGTTGGATGAAGTAACTCGACGCATCAAAGTGGCAGGGCCCAATGGTTACGCCATTCTTCTGGCTGTGCCTGGAAGTTCTGAAAGCCGGTCCTCCTCTTCCTCAGCCACGACAGACACTGCCACCTCTACTCAGAGGCCACTTAGGAACCTTGTGTCCTATTTAAAGCAAAAGCAGGCAGCTGGGGTGATCAGCCTCCCTGTTGGGGGGAACAAAGACAAAGAAAACACCGGGGTTCTTCATGCCTTCCCACCCTGTGAGTTCTCCCAGCAGTTCCTGGATTCCCCTGCCAAGGCACTGGCCAAATCTGAAGAAGATTACCTGGTCATGATCATTGTCCGTGGTGCGTCCTAAAGTCCATGTGTATCTTGTATTTACTACTTTGACATGGTTCCTGTTTTGTGATGTGTAATGGGATACAGCATCAGATAACTTTTTTTTAATTAGTTGTTTAGTTGTAGCTTTTTCTTTTTTTATATATTTTTTATAAACCTCTTTAAAATAGAAGTCAGGACAGTTTAGTTATTATTTTAAATGAAAGGGACACCACAAAGGTAGCAGGCAGACAGATTGGTTTGCTTTAATTAGGAGTTCCTGCCTTTATAAGTAACTTCTTTCCTTTGTCTTGAGTTTTTTTTTTTTATAACCTTGAACTTAAAATAAAAAAGTCCTCAAAGTTACAAAACCAAAATTTTGAAAAGTTTGGCATTTGGAGAAAAGAATCCACTGACTATTAAGCTGGTAATATCTAAAAACTGCTTGACTGGTATGTAAGTAAATAAGTCCTGTACCAGAAGTAGTTGTGTGACTAAAATTTGATCAGGGAACCCAAAAGTTTATGCTAGTAAATGTGTAGCAATATAATTATTTAAATCAGGTATTTGAGTATTTCTCTTAAAATACAAGTTATTCCCAGAGAATTGCTTTACCATGCATTTTTATCATTAGTTGTTGAGTTCTGTATCCCCTATATGCACTTTTGGTTTGTAGCTGTAACTAACTGTTCAGTAAAAGTTGAGGACTATGTTACAAACCATTGGTGTCTTATGCTTACAATAGTATGCAAGAAGTGAGTAGGTGCTTTTAAAATCAGAGTTCTTTGGTCAGTTATTGGTGTGTGGTTGTGTTTTTACTGACTTTTTCAGAGAGGTATAGCAGGTATAATTCTAATTGTGCATATTTCAAAACTAAGTGTTCTTCATCAAAGATGAGTGTTTTTGTATCCATTCAAATTTCTGGTTTCAGTAATAGAAAGAAGAGTTGTCTGCAGGCTCGTAAGTCATCTTCTGTTTCAGTGGGCATTAATCAGCCATATCTGGATTGCAGAATCTTTTTTTTAAGTCGTGGTCTTTTAAATTTTGCTTGCATTTTTATTTTCATATTTGCCCAGTGATTACATAACATTATTGAAAGTTTTTGGAATTTCATGCTTAAAATTTTCACTGCTGTCCAGCCACAGATTTGAAATGTCAATGTGGGAAAACCCTTTGTTATTGTTTTATTTTCCCAGACACTTGGAATTAATACAGAATTTTTTTTGAGAAAATTTTTTCAAAGCTGATGATGGTATCACCTTCTGGTTCTTAACAAGGGGTTTTGTTGCTTAACAGTAATGATCCCCCCCCCCCCCCCTTCTACCACAGCCTTTACTTTCTCAGGTCATTAGTAAGTATATTTTTCTCTTTTGATATAAATGTTGAGACCTTTGACTCAGGCCCTTGATATTTAATTATGATTAGAAGCTCTCGGACCTCCTGGATCATGGTCATGTTTCTATTCTGTGAAAGTGACTTATTCAAAGCCTGGCAGAACCCAACTGTTCTTTCTGTTATCAAAGCTGGTAGTTTTGAAATAGCACCAATAATAACCCAGGGAAATGTCATATAATTTTTATTTTCCATTATGACAGGTGTCTAATGCATGTCAGCATGAAAGCCTCATCACTACTGTGTCATTCTTTTTGGTTATCTATGCATTTATGATTTTTTTTAGGTTTTTTTTGTTTGTTTTTAAACTGGAAAAACTAGCCATTTTGAGAGAAGGAAGGTAGGAAGGTACTAGGCTATGAGCACAGAAGTCCTTGATGTGCGCTTTAGGAAAAATGTCTGATATCCTACAAGTAGGTTTTGGTGCTTTTTCTTTCAGAAAGCAGTACTTGGCATGAAGTAGACACCTGTTCAGAAACTAATGCAAGTAGTCTGCATACATGGGATCAAAGTACAATTTGTGGCTAGATACATTTTTCCAGTTTAAATATCTCACTAACCATTAACTTTTGGATATCTTTCCATATGGTAGCAGACAAATGATTTTGCTCTTTCAGAGAGTGAAGTCCATGAAATGTAATATTACTATAGTCCAAAACGTGTGTGGTTTATCTCTTTTTTTTTTTTAAAGTTGGTGTGACAGCTTACTGAAGAGTACTGTGGTTTTTTTCCCCTCATGTTTGTTTAAATTCGTATCTGACATTGCTGCTTTGGTTAGACCTGGGCAATTGTGCTTCAATGTTTTGAAACAATGACTTGATACCATTTCTAAATGTATGTATAAGAAACTAATTATGTTAGTTTGGTGCTTACCTGCAGAGTGCCATCATCCAGATGAATCTTTTATTTGTGTTGCCCATTCTGTTGTGCAGATTTATAATATCTGTAAACTATTTACTTAAACATTCAGAATTTGAATGAAAGCAGTTGTCTAAACATGGTTCTAATCTTCATTAGCCAGAATTTCATAATCTCAACATTGGATGTTCTTTGTAACAACCAATTTTTTCTTTTTAAAATTACATTAATTTTTTTGGGGGGGAGAACTCAATTGAAATGAATGGGAAGGAAATTTCTTCAGTATTTCAGTTTATAATGACTTATTCAGTATTACTTGTAAAAACATCAAGATAATTAAGACTTTAGATCGCGACTTAAACATCTGTGGAAAATTAAGCAATCACTCAGTTCCTTTACTTAATTTTTTGTTATTATTCTGTTGATTGTTGTTGAGATTCCTGTAAAGAATTTTCCACATGAAAAATTTGAATTCCTGGCTTAAGATGTATACTTTGAGAGCAAATAAGAGTTTTCCCTTAAGGCTTACATCTTAAAATGTCTACCCTCTGGCGGTGTAAGCTTTTGTCACGATTTGAAGGTAATACATTCTGACCCTTCTTAACTCACTTAGATCATTTTGAGATACAATGGTAAAAGTCAGGTGTTTGGTTATTGTTTTCAGAGTCAGATACTGTTTATTTTAAAACTATTTTATGAGCAGGTACTCACTGACAATGCTATTTTTTGGTGGGGGGGGAGGGAGTTTAAATCCACTTTCTTGAGATAGTAAAGTTGCTCATTATGCAGGCATAGCTTGATCTGCAGTTTGGGTCCATATAGGAACCGTTCATCAAAACTCTGTAGTAACAGAATTAGGAAATCCTCTTGAAAAGAGGGCCTTAATGACCTTTTATGTGAAAAGAGTTTTTGGAGAGAATTTCTGGACATCTTTTTTCTGTCTGCTACAGTGTTTGATTTTAAGATAGGAGTTAAGTATGAGACTGAGAAGAAAAGTGGAGCTGTCCCTGTTAACAGTGATGTCCCTAAAGGGAGAAAATGATTTCAGGTAACCACAGTGAAATGCCAAGCTTAATGAAGAGTTTCTTATGTATGATTTAAAACAGTTGAAAAGTGAGAGTCTTGAAGTGTTCTTTGACTGTTTCACAATTGTTTTGAGTGTTTTCTTAAAGTAACAGCTGCTGTCTTTGGTAATAGAGATGAAGGTGGATTTTTAAATGGCTGTGTCCCTTTCTATAATGGAGTAGTCTGTGTTGCTCCAATATAAATTACAAAATGAAAATAGAAAGGGTGAAAGTTTCACTAAACTCCACCATTTTATAGTTTCATTTAAGTTATATCTAGAATATACTGGTAGACTATAAATTGATGGTCAACTTTTTTTCTGAGTTTTGACATATTTTACTCAGTTACATGAGTATAAAGGATATTTTCAGTCCTGTAACTCTCATTTGCAGTCTTTAAAGAAAACTCACCGTATTGTTCTACTTGTTATTTGTCTATTCATACAGTAAATTCATTTCAAGGTTTGTGCCAGTGGGTATTATTGGTGCTTTTTGAAGTTGAGTTGGGACTATCCAGGAAGGTCTTGTTAATGTAACGTTCATCTATAATGGCATAGGGGAAATATATATATTTTTAATATTGTAAACATTTGTACTGAATAACCTTTTTTTCCCCCCCGCAAGCAAAACTGGTGAACAGCGGATGAAGATATGGAATTCAAAGCTCTAATGGACCTTTTTGAAGAGAAGTTGTGGCTTATGTGGAGTTTACATGGGCCTCTGATGGAAGAAAGCTAATCTGTTTAGTATTTGTGCATTTTACTAAAATGGCAGCTTAAAGTTGTGTATCTGCTATTGTGATGCCAATGCCGGTGTTTTAAGTGGAAAAAAATGACCTCTTTGCTTTGTGCTGTGTACACAAGATTTCTGGAAAAGTAAAGAAAAACCCTTTTTATGGCTCACACAGCTTAAAAGTAGCTGTCACTCAAACGTGCGCTCACAGTTGAGCTGCTTTTGTTTTATTCTAAATAAATTGTTTCTTTTGAGGAAAATGTTTTTCTGCCTGGAAGTGAATTGACGACAAACCTTTGACCCCTTTGTTTGCAGCCAAGGGGGTATTTGCCGCTGCTCAGATCTTGTATGTTTTGAGCAAGAAGCAGGGAGATCATCAATTTCATTTTGACTATCACGGTGTGTCAATTCTGAAGGATCACTAGTGTTACTGTGACCCCCTTTGTTTGCAGTGAAGGGGATCATTTGCTTCTCGGTCCTCAACGTGATGAGGAAATGGTGCTGTTTGCTGGCACGCAAGAAGCCGGGGCAAGCACCCTAAGCCTCACCACAGTGCACGAGTCGGGGGCTTTGCTGGTTTGAAGAGCCGGAGTTGCTGAAATTTAAGTTGTGATTTATTTTGTTCACCCATCACGTTTGACCTTAGTTTCATTTTTAATTTGAAGAAAAGTTTGAAATTGCTTTATCTTGCACTTAACATTGCACCAAATTGCCAAAAGAAGGAGAAATGCTCCGTTTGCTTTTTAAATGTTAAATGATGATGTTAATAAAGCCTTTCCTGACACATTTGAGGAGCTCCTCCGTCTCCAGGGGCTTCTTACGAGAGTTATGCAGTGATGGGTTTAGTTCTGAATGGATGAAGAGTTCCTGAGAGCTAGCGTTTGTAATTAGAACCGTTAACTTGGTATCTGTGCCTTATTTGACCTATGGTTCCACGTGCCTTGGATGTGCATGCACCGTGACGGTTTCACAGGTACGAACGCACACTCAGGCCCAGTCACCTCGGTTGGTAGTACAGATTGTGAGGAAAAAAATGGAGGCATCCTTAAGGAGGAAAAAGTGTTTGCCTTTAGTTCCTGCATTATCCTGTACAGGGGCTCCTGAGCTTTGGAAGCCTGTTTCCAGTACAGGAGAACAACACCCCTGTTGGCCGCAGGAGACTTCGGTGCACAGTGACAACGCTGGAGTTCAAGAGGAAGCCAGCAGTGCTGCACCATTGGCTTCAGACACCATTGTTGTTGTTTGCCAGTTTTAAACGTAACTAGTTGCAGACGAAGACCACCTTGAAATGCAGGCTTGTTGGGCTTGTTTTGAATTGTAACCTCGGATGGAAGAGCCCTAGTGCTGTCTGTCTCCATGCGGGATGATGATTGCCTGGCAACAGGTGATTATCAACAACGATGCCACGGTTATAACTCTGCAAGGTGGTGTTCCAGTGGCAAACAGCTGTATAAACTCTTGTAAACAGGTAAGAGAGTTTTGAGAGGTCAAAATGCATTATAATTAATAGGGTGATGGCTTTAAATGTTTTGGGTTTGTTTTTCTGGTTGGAAATCTTGAGGCACTCTGATGCCACTTAAGTATCTGCCTGCCTTCGCTGAAATGTCTTAATTACAAAATTCCAGGCCAAACCTTTTGTTCTACTGGATGTGTTTTTTTAAAATTTATTTTAACATTTGAAAAAATGCTTTGAATGTGGTAGTCGAAGTTTTAAAATCTTGGTTATGGATTTGAGCCTTATGGACTTTGACATTTTTCCTTTAACCTTGGCCTTCCTTCACTCTTTGTTGTGATTTAATGGTGCAGGATTTAGCAGTGTAAAATGGTGCTCATTTACAAACCCTGATTTGTAAACTTCAAGGGTTAGGGTCTTAGAGTATACAACAATAACGAAGAATGTTGTCAGATTGGTGATGATACTTCTGCTGAAATGTTTCTTTTTTCCCTTGTCCTACAAAGAGATTACTTATAAAATCAGGCAACTGCAACCTTAGGGAAATAAATAGACAGAATTATTAAAAGTCTGGCTTTTGTTTGCCCTTAACGTTTTCATTGTCCATGTGGTCCTACCAGCCCCCACTGTTCATTGCTTGAGTGTGAGGTCTTAGCAACTTAGCATAGGCACAACTTTTTTAGTATATGTTACAACTTAGGTCTCGCTTTATGTTGAATGAGATAAAAAATTGGGTAGAAGTTTTCTTTCCTCCCAACCAATTAGTCTTTGGTAATTACAGTAGCTCATCTGTAGTAGCTATTTTTCTCAAAGGTTTGCTTGAGACTTGGATTGTTTACCTGGACAATTTGTGTACCTATACTTTGATACAGTAAAAAGGAAAAAAAAATTTTTTTAAATGGGTTTTTTTTTTTTTTTTCAGGCTTTCAGTGTGCCATTTGCAAGTTTTTGAAATGTTTGCTTATGAGGTGGCTGCCATAAGACTTTGCAAAATAATGGTTCTGCATTTCCTTAAACATTTTGTGCTTGTTGGAAATGTCAGTTTTCAGTGTATTTTTTTTTTCTCTTGCTGGTCTACTCCGTAAGCCCCTTAAATGGTTTTTCCAATTTTCCAATTAGTAAGCAAATGTTTTAAATCCCCATGGAGATTTAGGAATATAATGCAATACTTATATATTTCTACATGTTTGTTGTCTTTCTAAGTAAGATTTCAGGCTTTATCACTCAAGAGCAAGAAAAAGTGTTGCAAAATGGCATTTGTTTATTTGTATATAAGCCATATTATGTAAAATGGGAAAGTAGCCAGAATGACAATTTTTTGAACTGTAGTACTCCTGAAATTTCATTTATTTCACGTTGCAGTATGAAGGAAAAGTTAACTGAGTTGAGTGTTAGGTCCAGAGTACTGATTTTATAAATTGTAAACTGTCCTTTTGACTTGTATGATTTCCCAGTGTGTTTCCTGTGATCTGAGTGGGATTCTGTAACAAAGCATTTCAGGATCACCTCAGAATTGGGCTCATTTTGTAAAGTTTGGCTGTTATTAAAATTGAAAATAGGGATTACCCTTACTTCAGGAAAACTACTCAGATTTTATAAGTTTCGACTTGTATAAGTCTTTTAATTGTTTACAAATCATAATTCTTTATAAGCTGTGTATCTGAGGCAATAAATGTGCTTGTGACTTGTACAGCACTGATTTTTCTTTTTGCAGTAGTACAAGAAATGTTCAAAAAGTTCATAGAAATTGTGTATTAAGAAAAAAATTGCGTGGAAATCAAAAACTTAGGCATCAAAATAAGCTTGTTTTAATTCCATTTTCCGTGAACTCTTTGAAGTACCCTTATATATATCTGATTATGGCTTCTCTGACCACCACTTCCATCTCCTAATTACTCTCTGAGTGTCCCTGCTTAAAAGAGCCTTTCATTTAATAGCTGCTAAGTTTTTAATTCTTAGCAGAGGAATTGATTGAATGACAAAATTTCTCCAAACCTCAAATACATTTGGTCTTGGTAACCAAGAAGGCATTTTAACCTTGAAATAAAATTATTTAATGTGCTCCACTCAAATAACCATAACCCAAGTAACATTCTGCTTCCAGCTAATGTCTCTCTTTAACTGGAATGCTGGCTGTATCTTAGTAACTAATAACTAAGGTGCTGAAAATAAGAGGTAAAACACCAGTCTCTACCTTCTTTAGCAATTTAGACTTTTAGTTATGGAAACTAGGTGTAAACAAGTAAATAGTTAAATATTGGGGAGAATTTTAACAATTTTAAGATAGCTATAGGAAAGATGTCCCAGGCCAGTGTTTGGTTAATTGCTAATGAATTTTTACAGGTGATCTTGGTATATGAGTGTATATTTCAAACTGGAATAGTCAACAAAGAAGGACGTGGCATTTTGGTGGAGGTCATTGGTATTGACATAATCAGGCAGACAGGCATGAGTAAGAATATAGCAGCCTTGTTGATTGATGGAAAAGATTGTTGGGTCAGCAAAAACGGAATCCTGAGGGGCAAGCCAATGTGAGGAGGGTAGGAGTGGAAATGGATAGTCATTTGGGGCATATTGATAGCAGCCGTTTATTGAATGCCCATTTTAGGCCAAGAACTGTATACATGTGTCATTTAAAATCTAACCATAAACCATATCTGACAGCTAGTAAGTGATGGAGCCAGTGTTCTAACCATGTTTTTGTCTGAGCTAGGGCTATCTTGGGCATTATGCTGTTGTACTTTCCTGGAGGCTAGGGATAGAATTAAAACTGAGCTTAAGAAATTACCTGGTTAGTGGATTTCCAACTATAGTGGCTCAACATTATGCAAAATTTGGGATACAGGTTGTTGGCTCTACCCCCAAAATTTTTGATTTGTTGAGACCAGGACAGTTTAGAAGTTGTTACTTGACAAGCTCCTAGGTAATTCTGAAACATTCTGTGGTTAGTGAGCCACATGTTGAATAATGGTGGCCTATAGACGGTAGAGTGTTGAGGTGGAAACCTAGGATGATGTCATATTTTATAAGGCATCAACAAAAAATGGTGCTGGAAAAAAGCTGAGGTAGGAGAGCAAGAATATGTTGTCTAAGAAACTGAAAGGAAGAGCTTCTAGAAGGTACATTTAGAAGGCACCTTCTGCTCTTCTAGCAGACAAGGAAAACAAAATACCATGGAATTTCTAATTTTAAATGTCACTTAGGAGTTTTATAGTCAAGTAATTATTTCTCCAAGGAACTCAGTCTTTAATTTTACTTTATAACCATCTGAAGAAGGGCTGCTATTCTGTTTATGAAATGCTGAAGGAACACCAGAAACACTTGTTTTTACTTGGGTAAGGAATACACAGCCAGGAACTGACTGAGATATCCTTGTGTTTTTAGATGTTAATGTGAAAATGATGTGACTAATCTTTTAAAAACTAAAATAGTGATTTTTTTCATTGTATGTATGCACATGAAAGTTGTGTGCACTAATGGACAATCAACTGTATCTACTACATTCTAATTAGGTTACTAGCCGGATTAATACAGAAAGGAGTTAAAAGATTGAGTATTCCTAATCTGAAAATGTGAAATCTAAAACATTCTGAGTGCCAGTGATGCTGACTCAAAAAGTTTCAGGTTTCTGAGTATTCCAGCTTTTTGAATTGGGGGTGCTCACCTGGTAAAGCTAACATTCCAAAATCAGATTAACTGTGAAATCTGAAACACTTCTTGTCCCAAGCATTTCAAGTAGGGATACTCAACCTGTATTAGATTAGGTTGAGTGTATCTGCCCTGTACATGATTGAACAATTTCCTGTTTTGAATTATGTATACTGTGTTTGTGTTTGTTAAGTGTAGCAGATATTTGAGTACTGGTTATATCCCAGGCATTATTCTAGATCTTGGGAGCATACTGGTGAAGAAACAGAAAACTTTTCTTTTTTCTCATGGTACTCACATTCTAATGAAAGAAGGGAGTCAGTACATTTGTAAGTCAGTGCCATGTGGCCACAGACAAAGGATTTGGGTTGTAAATGCTGAATGCAGTGGAAGCCATTGGAGTTGATAAGCAGGGGAGTGACAGGATTTGATAAAGGCTTGACTCCCTGTCTCAAGGAAGTTACATAAATTTCCTTCATGTGTCAAGGAGAATAAGTAATTAGCATTTCAGATTTTCTCCAAGACTTGGAATGTGTTCTTGTTCAAAGAGAAGCAGTGTTCTTTTATTTAAATGCAGTTTCATTGTTGACTGCCCTGAGCTTTCAAAATGGTCTTCCTTGTAGTTCATCGTTTTCTCAACATGCCACTTCATGTACTTTCTGTTCTCAAAAAACTGTCATGATAG